AGAACCACCAGTGAAATCTGCTGCCAAGACACGAGATACTGCACAGCAGGCAGGGACAAATTCTGATATTGATTTTACCCTTTGTAGGTTACTCTGGATGTGTAAGTAAAGCTGTATATTTGCTGCAGCTTTTACGGGAATAACCACTGCTGATTTCCTATCGAAAGCTGCTGAAAGAGGGGGAAAAAAAAGCTGCAAAAACCTGAAGTCTCTGGTGAAAAGACTAGACATGGGATTTTAAAGGCACCAGAGGATATCAGTATCTCCAAAGCAGTGTGTAATGTTGACCCTCAGATCAGCAAACCTCAGCATCTCTGTTCAGGAGGGCAATCTGTGCTGACAGTGACTGTCTTGAGTTGCAAGGCTGGAGGATCTTGGAGTATGTTGATGGAAGTGGAAATCAGACCTTGTATGTCTCTGCTCCCCACTGCTGCACTTGGGGATTGGGATGTTGTAGCACAGGCTTAATTTATAATCTAGGTCTTGTCAAATCCACTAAGACAAGAAGAAAAGCTGTGAAAGTTGTGACTGGGAGGAGGAACAAGGCAGGGCTGTTTTAAAAGCAAACCCTTCAGTTTCCTCTCTTTTGTGCATTGGAGATTTAGGTGGAGTCATTTTGTCTTGTCTCTCATTACTTTTTTCTGTAGATGTAACTTAGAATTTCACAGGATCCCTTATGGACACCAGTGGGATCAGTAAACACTTTAAAGGAAAATAAGAAAGCAGCTGTAGAGCCCTGGGAGGAGAGAGCCCCTGGGATGGTCCTGCAGCCACGTGCTGAAGCACAAATGATTCCATCTCTTGCTGGTGAAGCTCTTACTGCATCTCTTCACACTGGGCTCGGGGTCAAAGTCTGCAGTTACACATCCCTGTCCGCCAGTTCCCTTCCAACAAACCACGTGGCTTGGGAGAAAGGAGCCCTTGAATATTTTAGTGCCTTCACAGTCTTTTGTGCACTCAGCCCCTTGACAGGTGGGACGTGAGCCCTGGGCTGCCCAGGGAAACTCATCTGCAGTCCTTTGTCTTCAGGAGACAGAACACAAAGCTGGTTTTACTTAAATAATGGGACTTCAGCATCAACACTTCATTTGTGCTGAGTGGGGCCAGAGCACCCACCAGCAGTGCTGCTGCCTCTGCAGCTGGGCTGGCCTTCAAGGGCTCCTTCAAGGAGCTTCTAACGAGGCTTCGAGACTCCAAGTGGTTGACAGGCTGCCTTGTGGGAACCCTGGTGCTAACGTTTGGCTAATAAATTGAGAGGCCTGAGGCCAGTATAACGATATTAATTAGGATGCTGGGGTGCTAGCTAAGTGTTTTTAGCTGTTTTTTGCTCCTGGCCTTATGGACTGTAAAGCCTGAGTGTGGATTTTATGGTGTAATAAAAAGAAACACTTCTACTTATAAAAGAATGAGACTGCAGTAAATATCTGGTGAAATAAAGGCAGTGAAAAGGATCTAGGTGATCCCAGGCCTTTGTAAAGAGCATTTATTCTGTTGTTGATTAATTAAAATGGTCTGAGATGTTGGTACCCTAGTGATCTCAGGTAGCCTGGTGTTCCTTCTGCTGGTGTGTGAGCTTAATTCCCTGGGGGAGATGGTTCCTTGTGCTTTCCTAGGGAAAATGCCTGGGTCTTGGTCACAGTCTCTCTGTTTTGTAGGTTTTTTTAACCATTTCTCAGGCTGTGGGAATAGGCAAAGGCTGGAGAGCAGCAAGCTGGCCTGTTCAGAGGCAGGGCTGGGCAGGCAGCTCCTGGGGAAGCTCCTTCTGCTTGGACCCCCAGGCTGGGCTGGTGAGCAGCCCTGAGCCCCCTGTGTCCTCTGCAGCTGAAAGGAAGGGAATGCTTTTTTAAACCTCGTGGTGCTCACCCTCTGGAAAATGGTTTCATTTAGTCTGGAAGACCATATCTGGTGAAGGCACTTGTGTGCCCACAGTGTGACAGGAGCGGGTGCTCTGCCCTTCACCCCGAGGCCCCTGCCTTGGCCTGGTGACTCTTCCAGGGGGTCTGTGTTGGCCTCTCTGCCCCGTGCTTGGTGGGGATCTCCTTGGTGCCCTGTGGGCTCTGCAGCCTGTGCCTGTGAGCCCTGCTCCGGGCTCTCCTGGCCTGGTGGCTGCCACCAGGGAGAAGGAAAGAGTCACTTTAATTTTGCTTTCCATTACAAATTCAGAAATAATTTTGCCTGCTGAAAGGTCACGTATTTTTAAAGGGACTCTGACTCAGAAGTGACTTTTCAAAAATACTCCTTGTAGCACAGAGTATCTTTTAAGTGATCAAAGCTGGTGTCTTTTAAATTGCAGCTTTGGTTTGTGCTGGTTTTGCTACTTGGCCAGCTTGTCCATGGAACATACCAGCCAGTTGGATTCACTCAGCTGTGGGGACAGAAGTGGGCAAAGAAAAGTGCAGTGGAAGTGAAGACCTCAGGGATGCTTTTCTCTGGCTCCTCCTGGTTGCACAGTTTGCTTTCAGCATCTCTTTCTTTTTTTTCCCCAATCCATTAAATCCAACTGGAAATTGATGTCCTTTGGGGTTATGGAAAATGTAGTGATAAGAAAATTAGAGGTGCCTGTGGAGGTTCTGAGTGAAGTTGCACTGAAGGCAACATCTTGTGAGGTTAATCCCTGCCAGAACAGGACTCTTGCTCCAGCAGGCATGATTCTGAATTCCCATCTTGCTAGCAGTGGGAGAACCGTGAGACACCTGATAAGTTCTAATATTTGTTAGATTACTGGTATTAATGCTGGAAGTTCACTCTCTGGTTTGACCTTTGTCCGTAGCCATGGTGAAAAGCATTGGTGCACACTGAGCATCTGCTGTGACACTGGGGACATCAGAGGCTGTGGTGACCTCCCCCCCAGGGCGAGTCCCTCAGTGCTCCCTGGGACTGTGTCCCACCTACAGAGCATATTTGGATGAAAACCAAGGATTTTGGGGAACTGATTGTCGTGAGTTTGCACGGAAGTGCAGGATCTTGTCATACCTCAAGCTGAATCCCAGAATCCCAGCTGTGCCTGCTGCAGGAGCCACAGCTGGGCTGATGATCCACCAGGCTCCTGCAGTGGGCAGAGAGGTGTGTTTGGTGGGCGTTCACAGGGCTGGGCGAGCTCCAGGTGTGGTGATATTTGAGAACTCTGTTTCCCAGTAAAAACCTCTTTCCTGAAGAGGCAGCAGCATTGTGCAGCCTGACGTCTGCCTCCTGATCTCCTGGCTACATTTGTCTTGCAAGTGTGGGTTGTTTTTCTTTTTCTTCTCCCCTTTCATAAAATTGCAACGTGTGTTTCTTTTCCACCTCAGGACATGGTGCGGGGTGAAGAGAACAGATAAAGATCCTTCCACCACTCCATAGCCTGTTCCCCCTGCCCCGAGGACACGGGCTGATGCCCTCAGCACCCCCTGCCATGGATGGGGGGAAGGACTTCCCCCAGCACCAGCACCAGGGCAGTGCCCTCTACAGCATCCCGGGGCTCCACTCCCAGCTCACGGCCCCAGCCATGGAGGTGAGAGCCCAGGAGCTTCCCGGGGGGGTTGGGAGAGGCTGGTTGGGGGGCACCAGGGGGGGCTGAGCAGGGCACTCCAGCCTGTCCAGCCCTGGGAGTCTTGGTGTGTGTTTGCAGGAGCTTTTAACAGACTTTCTAGGCAGCTGTCCAGGGGCATGAAGCATTGATTGGGGATGCTGGAGGGGCTGCTGCCCTGCAGTGGGAGGAGGAAGGCAGGGCTGTGATTACAGCAATGCCTCTGCAGAAGCTCCTCCAGAAGGTACTAAAGAGTTTAGGCAGAATTGCAAACTTTATTTCTGCCCCAGTGTGGCTCTCTGGGACATGCTAAAGGTATTGCCAGGTCCAGCTGTGCCTTTTCTGAGAGTGGCAGAGATTAATTAGGGTTGTATTTGTCCTGGTATGACTGCTAAAACAAGACTGGGTCTCTGACAGTCTCAACAGGGCAAAACCCAAACCTCTACCCCAAAATAGGTTACATGTCCCTGCAGTTTTCTGTTTATAACTCTTGAGTTTTGTCACCTGTGGGAATGCAGAGGTTAAAAAAGGGGCTCATTTCACCAAGTGCATGTTGCTTTAAGCATGAGGCACCAGTGCTTTGGACACAAGTAAGGACAGGTGAGAGACTGATCCTACCAGAGATGCTGTGATCTTTCTGGGATTGCCTTGGTACAGGCTGAGCTAAAAGCTGCCTGTTAATGTCAGACTGTCCAGGAGGGTGGGAAGACAGAAGGAAAAGAGCCACGTTTGGGGTGTTCACCTACACAGGCTGATTTCAAGGGAATGTGTTGGTGCTCAGTTTCTGCAGGAACTGAGGTTGAGGGGCCATGAAAAGGGACTGACCCTGTTGTCCTCTGAGGGCAGGGCCAGGAGCTCCAAGGGCTGAAGATGGGATGTAACACTGGGTTTCCCCAGCTGGGCTCAGGGCTCAGGGCCATCGGGCTGGTCCCATAATGGGTCTGGTTTCTCCTTTCAGAATTCCGTACTGGCCGCCGACTCGTGGAGTAGCTGCTGCCCAGTCCCTTTCCCCACCTCATCTTTCCCAAGTGAAAACCAGTGAGTGCTCTTCTCCCTTCTATAATTCCCCTCTGCTCTTGCACACCCCGTGATTCAACTGTTTCTTTGCTGCTTTTCTTGTTTACTTTATTTCACTGAGTGATGGGGAAATAATTGCATCACACACTGATCTTGTGGCATTTCATAAACTGCTACATCTTGGGAAAAGCAGCAAACAGCTTGTTTTCTTAAAAAAAAAAAAAGAAAAGAAAAAGAAAAACTTTGATTTCTGGTAAACCTGGAGGCTGCTGCAAGGGAGAAATAGCCTTGGTTTGTCCTGGACTTGTTAAATTGATGGAGTTCTTAAGAACACCCCATTAGCACAATCGAGCTGAGCAAATTCATCCTGCAGTCTCTAGCTCTGGTGGTGCAGGCAAGGAGAAGGTGTTGCTGGTACCAGGTGGCAGATCATGGGAGAAGTGAAGATAAAATCTGGTGCTGTGTGGTGACTGGAAGCTGCCTGGTTGCTCCATCCCATGTCTGCACCCAGAACAGCCCCTGACTGCACTGCCCAGAGGTCATCAGGAGTCCTGACTTCTTCCCTTGGTTGTGACTGATGTTCTGCACTGATAACCTCATCCCATGAGGTGTGAGGTGATGAGAACAGGCTGAGAAACTGGGGCTGACTCCTAAGTAGAGCTGCCCAGTGTGCAGCACAGTTCAGAGCTGGAAAGAGGAGCTGTGATGGGTTTCAGCACCTTTGCATAGCAACAGGGGCCCTGTCTTATGGGAGAACATTGGCCATGTGCTTTCTAGATCCAGTGCAAAAACTTTTACATGCTCCAAATGTTTGAAGGGTCTTTGCATAACAATAAAATTGTTCCTTCATCTCCCTCGTGTGATGAACCTCCATCCTGGATCAGAAGGTAGGATAAGACAGGAGATGTTTGGGACAACATAAAAGTGGCCTCGTGCCATCCCCAGGTGACTTGAATTAAAACTTCGCTGGGTCTGGGAGATGCTGGTTGTTGGATGAAGGTTTGAAGGTGGATCAGCTACTGCTTTGTTCTCTGGGTGAGTGCAGGGAGTGGCACAGATACACAGGATGTGTTTTTATTTAGGTCAGAGGTGGGAGGAAGGAAAAGGAAAAGAAACAGAACTTGGTATCCTGAGCGAATAACTGGGTTCCAGGTGCTTGAGGATTTAGTTTAACCTCCTTCCTTTGTGGAAAAGCAGAGAGATTCATCCTCCTGAGTTCCAGCCTGGCTGGCAGCAGTGGGAGGCTGCTCCTCTGCTTGGGGACGTGAGGCTGTTCTGTCCCTGCTTTAGTTCTTGCTCCTCACGTGCCCAGTCTGCAGGCTGAGCCAGGCAGCACTGGCAGGCTGGCTGGAGCAGGGCAGCTCCCCCCAGAGCTGCCCCACAAGGTGTCCTACAGGTGGTGGACAGAGCCTGCTGGGTCCTCCCCACAGTGAGCACTGGAGAGCAGGCACCAGAGCAGTTCAGCTCTGCTCTCAGCTAGCCTGGCTCTGCTTGGAACAGGGTGTACTTCTGGAGTGTGATTCCTGTAAATTACACTTTGTGAAGCCTCAGGAGAGCTGTAACAGAATTTCTGTTTTGCTGTATTGAACCACAAGATTAGATTGTGTTTATCTATGGGGTTTGCCTTTTTTTTTTTTTACCATTTGTTCTGGTTTTGCCCCTCACTTCCTGGTTAGTGCTGCTCATGTCATCCCTGCTGGAAAAGTAACAGCCTTGATCCTGCAAAGACATGTCTGTGTTTAACACAAATGTAAACTTGTTGACTTTGCTATAGTTACACTTGGAAATGAGGCTTATTCTACCAATTATTTGCTAGAGGATGATTTAGCCAGGGCTGCACCTTCAGCTTCCTGTTTTTTATAGTCTGGTAATTGTAAATTACCTTTCAGGGGAAATTTTCTGTATTTGTATTTCACAAAACCCAAGCAAGTCTGTCCTTTTGTATTTGAGAACTGCAGCTGTGACTCTTTTTAGGTGGGTGTAGGATTAGGATGTTACAGGTGGGAATCCTGAGAGGGGTGAAAACATTGAAAAAAGGGGATTTTGAAGGAGTTGTAATTGTAGTCCATGTTGTATAACAGAAGAATGCAGATGGCATCAGTTAGTCCAAGTCTCTCTTCAAAATCCTTGCAGAAGAAATCCCATTTCCAAGTGGCTGTGTTTGAACATGGTTTATTCTCATAGCAACAGCTCTGTCCTGAAGCAGGTTTTTCCTGTTTCTTTTCACTAGTTAACTTTCATGCTAGAGAATTTCTTTAAAAGCTACCAAAGTTTGCTTCTTTGTTTCATATTCTCTTAACCTGAAAAATGTAAACAGTGAATTAAACCTTGCTGAAAGAACAAATGAGGTTCAGAGTCACTGTAGGGAAGAGCTGCAGCTCAGCTCATTTCAAAGGCAGTTATCCCTGCAGAGCTGGGCTTCCTTTGCAGCTCATGGCTCAATGGATTCCTGGCTTCAGGGACATCTGGGCCAGTCCAGCTGTGCTGCTGGAAGTGGTGTCACACATCTGCAAAGAAGTATTTCTCAAAACCTGGAGCAAAGCTTTAATCCCCAGTTTCCAAACCACACAACCTCCTCTTTCCTTGCTGCTTTCACACCTTTTTCCACTTTGCCACTTACCTATGGAGGAGCATGGCTGGCTAAAATAGTAAGGTAGGCTTTGAAACACATGAATTGGTGCAGTGATGGGGAAGAGGAGTGCCAGGCTGATGCCTCGACAGCCTGGGACCCTGCCAGCCTGGCCCTGCTCTTCCACTGCTGTGAGATGTGGAGTCTGTCTCTGAATCAAGGGCTGTAGCAGCAGAGTCTGAAGTCTGGCCAAAACACACAGAGGAGGTCTCAGTGATTGCAGCCTGGCTCCAGAGGGCTTCAAATGCATGGGATGGGTGGCTGAGCAGCAGGCAGGAAGCAGGCACAGGGTCACAGCAGCCTGAACAAGGGTTGGCACAGAAAGCTGTGGCTGTGGAGTGTGGAGACCCACCTCCTGGGAGGGATGTGCCCTGCATTGCTCACCTCTGGGATGTGGGTTCCTGTAAAAGCCTGTCCACAGTGAGCTCCTTTAGTTCCTGCTGTTGAAAGTCCTGAGCTTCAGGAAAACTAAAGGAAATTATCAAATTCTTTTAAAAACCCCACAAAATCAAAACCAAAGCAAGCCAACAACAACAAAAAAAGCCCCACCCAGCAACTTTCTGCTGGAGCCTGGGATGGAGCCCTGCCCTGGGACCCACTGGCTGGACTGACATCAAATGGTTTGAGTGAGTCAGATGTCAGCTCAGGTTTGCCTCCTACCAAACTCTTCCACTGCTGCTATGTTTGGAGTGGGTGGCAGCAAAAAAAAGCAGTTGTGCTCTTTAAAGCAGTTCTCTGAACCTGGTGTTATCCAGAGATGCTCCCCACCCAGCTCAGGGTGTTGTAGGGACTCAGGAATGAAAGGATTTCTCAGGGCCAGTAACTAAGTCCCGAGCAGGTTTGTGCAGGGCAGTCCTGCTGTGAGGCTGTTTCCCCACCTTTGCTCTGGCAGCTCAGCAAGGTTCACACTTTGTTTCTTCCACTTAGCACCTTTTATTTTTGTTGCAGTTTAACTCAAGCTACTTGTGGCTTTATACCAGCTCTTCAAGTGAGGCTGAATATCTTTAAAGTTCTTATAGAAGAAAAGATGAAGCACAGGACCAGAGATTCTGAGAGGGCCTTGGCAGGTGCTGTGTGCTCGGTGCCTTTCCTGGGAGGGTCTCAGGGCAGGGTGCTGAGGTGCTGCTGGCTCTTCTCTCAGCCTGCCAGCACAAAGTGCATCTCACACTCACAGGTCTGAAAACCAAGACTAAGGGAAGGGAAATAACATCCCAGAGCTGGTCATGCCACAGCAGTTCAGGCCAGGCAGTTTGGGGCTGTCTTGGTCTCCTTCCCATTACCTGAACTGACTTGTGTGCAGCCCCACGAGCTGCTGGGGAAGCAGCAGTGGTCACTTTGCTGCTAAAAATAGTGCTCCTGTGTTTCCTCCTTTTGTGAGTTCATTAGCTCTGGCCTCCCTCATGCAAGAGACCAGAGCAGCTTCACCTTGAAAACAGTTTTAAAAGCCTTTCCATGTGTGTAAATACATGAATTCCCAGCATGTCTGATGCACAGGTTTCCCTTGGCTGGGGAGGTGGGGCTGGCAGGGCAGGCAGGGCAGGGCAGGGCAGGCAGGGTAGGGCTGGCAGAGCAGGGCTGGCTGGGCAGTCAGGGCAGGGCAGGGCTGGCAGG